TGGGTAAGTGTTTTAGGGATGCTTTTATATTTTGATTCATGCTTAAGTGAACTTTGTGACCATGCTTGAATTTTCTGTATTGTCAGCTTAAAGTTTACCATAGTGACATTTCACACTTGAGTTTGGATGATTCATAGTTAAAATAGAGTTTGTTTTAGAAGCTTCAAATCTGATTTAGAGAGCCTTATAACTAAACAAGTCAAGTCAAGCTTATTTTAGAGAGTAGGTCAAGGGTGTTTTGTCACACATAAAAGCTTGGTACTTTTGTATTTCATTTTATGCTTAAACATTGAGTGTATTCACGCGTGTTTTATCATATAGAGAAGCTAGGAACTTATGCCCAATGATTACAAAATTGGACTAGACCAGACGGTTAGACCATTGATTGGTCAGGTAGAAAAAATTTGGACAGGAAATTGGGATCAAGTCAAGAATCAAATTCAATTCCTAAAAGTTGGATGGCTCAAAAAATTACCCTTTTTCTTTCTTTCTTTTATTTTTTTGATCAAATTTTGTTTTTAAGATAAAATGACCCCTTTTTTTTTTAATTATTTAATGTTATGTTGTATTATGTGGCTTGTTAAGTTATGATAAACTTAAAATATTTAATTTTATTTTAAATTTAAGTAGCAATTTCATATTTACTTCTTATATTTAGATTATTATATACATATATAATTTTTTTAATTTAATTATTACATTATTGGTTTGACTATTGGTTCAACTCGATTGGACTATGTGAATCATGAACTATGAATCGCTGGCCTTTTTAGTTCAATATCCGATATGGTTTTGAAAATATTGCTTATGCCTTCCAAAACATGCTTGAATGCATTATAGCCTCACGTTTGAATTGGCTAGAGTGAACCAAAATCTTTAGTCTAGTGTCATTCCACACTTGATGTGCCAATCCATGCTTGAATTTGGCTTCTGATAGGCATTAAATACTAAACATAGAAAAAGTGAATTTTTAGTATTTTTCACTTCTACATATCTTCAACAGCTATAATCTTTTTTCTAAGTGTTCTCAATAATCTTAAACTCTTTATAAAATATATTGAGAACTTGTGAACACTGTATTTTGTTTAGGTTTTCAAATATAAACTAGAAATAAAAAGCCCAATAAAATTAAGTAAGTTATAAAAAAAGAGGAAAAATAGGATTTTATGAAAATAAATTAAAAAATAAAATAATATCTTCATAATTTAAAAGATTTTTTTCCTTTTTTTATTGACTCTCAAATCCCTTCATTTTTGTTGCTATCAAATTGAATGTCTTTAATGTAAATTTGATATTTGAACTGCCGAAGAAAAGTAAAAAAAAAAAAAACTGCTTTAATATGCTTGATTCTGTCATTAAGTGAAAAAAAAAAAACCTAGTTGATATCTACAAAAAAGATAGCAAATAAGAAGAAAAGGAATTTGGAAAGAGGCAGAGCATGTTGGTGAAGTTCTGAAAAGTAAGTAATTCTTTTTTATGTTGTTTCCATGATCCTCTAGCCTAGGGTGTGTGTTTGATGATGTACTCATGGATTTGTTACCACTCTTGTCCTCACTGTGCGTGATAGCAATCTGGGTTCATGTTTTAGCCTTCATATAATTGTTTACTGTTTAAAGTTGCTACTGCTAGTGACTGCCACAGTGAATCCTCATGTTGATATAATATAAATGTCTCATGACTCTTATGCTAATTCTCGGTATAATCCACTCGTTGAATTTAAAATGATTATGCCTTGTCCACATCCTCAAATTCCACATCCTTTTATCGGTTTTGTTTATTAATATGGTCAATATGTGCCATGCGTTCGTGGCAAATGGTGTGTGTGATGAATGGATAATCATGCTTATTAATTTGTGTATGAGATGATTGGCACGGAGTCGTAGGTTTTGAGTTGACACTTCTAGTTTTGTATTTATTCATTAAAATTGCATGCATAATATTCTTGTATACAACTTTAGCACATTAGCGAATGAGTTTGTGGGTGATATTTCTTTATTCAGACTTACAAATCATCCATTTTTATTTTTTAAAAAGGGAGGTCTTGATGAAAAAAAATACTTATAACCTTTTTATACTTTTTTAAAAAGAAAAAAAAGGGATTCACATGTGATACTAAATCACCTTGGATATTTTATATATTAATGAAGTGAGTGATACTAAATTACTAGGAATATTAAGTGTCAAATTCTATAAATATTAAAATTTATTGACATGTTTTTAGGATCCACGAGTGATACTAAATCACCATGGATCAATAGAAATAAGATACCGTGAGTGACACTTAACCATCGCAGGTATCAATTTTTATACTAAAAGTTCATAACTAAATTATTTTATAAGAATTTCATTTTAAAAATTTTTTTAGAGTTTGCCATGAGTGATACTAAATCACTGTGTGCACTTACCAGTGGATTATGAGTGATACTAAATCACCATAGGTTCTAATACCAGTTAAATTTCCCTCTAATTTTAGCATTTTTTAGGTTATGCCATGAGTGATACTAAATCATTGTGGATCCTTTAAAATATCAAACAAGTCACTGTGAATAACACTAAGTCATTACAAGCAAAAAATAATAAGAATAAAATTATTGGCATTTTTTTAGGATACACCATGAGTGATACTAATTCACCATGGATCCCTAAAAATATCAAATGAGATACTGTGAATGATACTAAGTCATCGCACGTATCAAATTATGTATAAAAATTTCATAATTACATTATTTTATAAAAAATTTACTTCAAAAATTCTTTTAGGGTTTGCCATGAGTGATACTAAATCACCGTGTGCACTTAAAGTGTCAACTGGCAGACTATGAGTGATAATAAATCATCACAAGTATTAATATTGGTTATTTTTCTTTTAACTAAAGGTACTTCCTTATGACAATTTTTTATTTTAAAAATAAATATAATTATAAAACACAAAATAACATTCTCTTCATAAAATAAATTAATAAAAAATTAAAAGAAAACCTAAATAATAACACTTCGAACTTTGTGAACTTTGATCCTCATCACAGGGTACGTAAACCCTAGACTTTGATCATAGGTCAAGTCCTCCTATATAAATAAATAATTTATTTTCTTTTTTTAATCTTCATTTTTGCATGTGATTAAAGGGTAATTAAGATATTACTAAAAGGCCAATTAATTTAAACAATCAACTCAGGGTAACTATTCTTATGAACAGGTGTTGTGGGATGTCTAACACTTTCCCCACACATAATCGACTCCTAAACCCTTTTCATATACCATCCTTTTCCATTATACAGTTTTTCAAGGTTTTCTAAAAACTTTGGTGGCGACTCCCATTTTTCTTATGTTTATCAACCTTCCCTCACCAGGAAAGCCATGATTTAGGTGTGACAGAACCTCATTTAAGTGAGTGGTTATGAATTATCATGCACTAAGTGTCAAAGTGCTTAAATTCTATCATTTTGCATTCATTTCATGTGAAATAAGCTCTCAGTTGGTTTATAAGCCATTAGTGTATTATTTAATTTTTTGAGAGAGTTTTTAGGAGTTCCTAAAATAGTTCTTTGTCATCTCTTTAGGAGAGCATCATTTAGGAAACACCTTCTACTTATCTTTAAGTAAATCAAGTATAGTGTTTTCTTATACTGTACAGAGAAGAGATCTCTGTGAAGGTGATTTTAGTAAGGACAGACTTTCTTGCAATTAAGAGAAGTGTTCTCTTGAGTTTGAAAGACTCATTGGTATAGTGAGAGACTTGTAAACAGCTCATAAATGCTCGAGCAAACTTGTGATTTGTATTGTGGTGATAAACATCCATTGAAACTTATGAATATAGTGAAAAATCTCAAGAGTGATCTTGGAGATTGAATGCAAGCAAAATAGTTGGGCTAAACTAGGAAATATTTTCTTGCAATATCTCTATCACTATACTCTTAGATTCAGCTCATTTATATCTTGTTCTCTCTCTAGGTTCTTGAATTCAAAGAGTTTATTTTGAAAACTTTGTTTTAACTTGATTAATTTAATTCATTATCTTAAAAAAGAAGTTTTAGAAACTTGCTTTTACTTTTATCTTCTAAATCAATTTTTCATTCTTTCATACATTTAGCTCAAAAACTTCATTTGATTCTCATTTCAAGTGTTTTGAAAAGCTTTGCAATAGAAGTTCTTGAGATTTGCTTATTTGTTCTTTGTTAAACTGTCTATTGCACCTTCAAATTGTGCTTAACTTTGCAATAAGTTTTGTTTAGTTGAAAATTCTTAATTTGAGAGAAATTGTACCTCTCAAAAAATTTCTATTGCACCTTCAAATTATTCTGAGAGAAATTAGACCTCTCAAAAAATTTCAAGAGAAAAATTTTTTTCTACAAACTTTTACTCACTTAATTTTTTTTTTCAAGAAAAAATTTGAGAGAAATCTTTTTTCTCTCATTTTTTATGCCTTCTCTCGTAATAACTCATTTTATATACATTTAAATTTACTTTGCTAATTTTTTTATACATATATATTTATCTCCCTCTTTGTTATATAAATATATATATATATATATATATTAAATTCACCAGACCTAAAGAGATATCATGGATATCAAACATTTAAAGTATGTATCAGGTATTGTATGCTAATTATCTGCCAAAAAATTATAACATTAGTAACAAAAAAAGTATGTTATATATATATATATATATATTATATTTATGTTATGTTATATATGCTTGTCAAGTAGGACAAAAAAAAAAAGGATACATGTTGATTCATAATAACACTTTTTTCATATTGTACCTGTAATAGTAATATGTACACTTGTTCCTTTTGTTTATATATATATATATATATATCTCTTCATGGATTTAATTAGTTGAGTGGTATAATATAATCTCCATTCTTAATAATGGGCATAGGGTGATTTCCCCACATAACAGTATACTATTACATTACATAGATATCAAATCACTTAATAGTATGGCACATTCCAGATCTTTTGTGGGTGCCACACTAGTTATTCAATAATTGTGCATTACTTGTTAGAATCTATCAGGCCATCATCTCCTTTGTAATATAAACCTCTCTTTGTCAATTTCAAAGGCCTTATCATCTCATTGTCTTCATGGTTCAACATCTGCACATATTTAATTGTTTCATGTAATTTCAATTAAAACTCAAATTAAAATGCCAAAAAAAATATATAACAATACTTACATGACAGTGATACACATAACCAGGTTCCGCTGTTGCATCAAACCCATATGATGCATTTGTATGTATGTAACCAAACCTCACCACAATCTTCGTCACAAACTTAGGTATCATCTTGTGCACCACCTTCCACCCTCTCTCATGAGCTGGAACCTCTATTTTCTGGCCATTTGCATGCTCCTCCATGTGGCACTCAGTCACATTATTATGTTTCCTCATGCATTCATTAAACTCCTCAAAATTCAATAGCTCTGTTTGATCTAACACCTTCAACAGCCCTAAATGAATGTGAAACGGATGATTAGCCATCGTTAAGTTGATCACATACCACACCTCTGTTGATCCCTCCTCTGGAGTTTCTGTCACTGGTGACTCGAAGGGTTTAGCATTTAAGTACAAGTGAGTTGGCCTTTCCTTCCCCATGCCAAACCCAAACATTCTAATGTACCGGGTGTGCAACACACTAGATAACTTTGCATCAGGATATTTTATCAACTTCTTTGGGATGCGTGACTTGTCAACTTCTAAATCAGGTTGTATGAAGAATTTCATGACCTTTCCATTAGCTTCATCCACTGGATCACCAAAAGGGAAGTGATACGGTGCATTATTGGCTAGGATAATAGTGTCACTTTTTGACTGAGAAAAGTCAACAATCATATCTATAATCTCAGATGGCCCCACTAAAACTTCTGTCATCATCACTGGCTCTTCAATGTAAGCAGAATCAGATGCCACGATGGTGAATTGCAAGCCATTAAGGAAGAAGAATCTAAAGAATCTAGAATTGCTGGCATTGATTATTCGAAATCTATATTTACGACGTTGCACTGTCATGCGAGGCCAAACTTTTCCATTCACGACAATAACATTACCATTGTATATCGGTTGCCAAAAGGGATGCACAGCAGGGATGTTTCCAGTGGAATTCATGTATAAGGAACCGTCAATGTGAAAGCTCCTATCAAAGATCATTAAAGGTCGATCAATGGCAATGTCGTGGGGTAAGCCGAGAGGGTCCTCGATTAGAGGGTGACGGATGATATAGGTCCCAATCAAGCCAGCAAGGAGGTTGACTCTAGTTAACCCAAGGGCATGATCATGATACCATAGATCTCCAGGATGCTGATTGTTATGATAGTGAAAGGTCTTCTTCATCCAAGTGGGCCCCATTTCATTGAATCCAGCGGTGAACCAGGCATTTGGGTTGCCATCACTCTGGGGCTCATGGATGCCACCATGGAGGTGAACCACTGTAGGGATGCCCTTCTTTGAGTGAGGTATGGCGGTTGGAATTGTTGGGTCCCATTGGAGGATGTGGCATGAAGGGAGGTGATTCTGCCATGTCACATAGGTGTCAACTCCGTGAAGGGCCTCAATTGTGGGACCTGGGACTGTTGCAGAATGTTTGTCGACACCATAAGCAAAAACTGGTGTTGGCGGCAAATCTCTATGGAATTTCTGCACTAGCATAAAAGGAAATGTTTTCAAAATCAAGTAAGTGTGGATATGTTAGTAGATCTCACTTTTTATGATTTAATCAATTAGATTGAAAATAAAATCGATGATGTAATAATCAAATGAAAATAATATTTTATACATATAATATATATATATATATATAATTCTAAGAAATAAGTTCATTGTATGTCCAATTGTCAATAAAGTAACATAACATTACCATAAATCAACAATATTATAAATTATGATTTTATAACTTGTCAATTATATATGTGGATCTCTTGATTATATGAGTTATAAGTATGATAAAAAGTATATGTATTTGCACCTAGCTATTGTTGTCAACATTTTTCTAAAAATTGGTCCCAAATCATATTACATAGATATGACTTAATGAATGGTCTAAAAATGAAGTTGGCTTTTAGTAGATTTAATCTTTTATTTTTTTCTATTTTTTTTAATTTTTGAGACTTTATATTATGTTTAGACCTGTACAATTTTTTAAAAATTGTTTTGGTTTTCATCTTGATAGTGACCTAACTTTGGTCCAGCTCATCTCAATTATAAAATATTTTTTGGTCCAAACGAAACTGTTAATGACTTTAGTCAATGGTTCAATTGATCCAATTATCCAGTCTGATCTCTTCAATTATTAAAACAATGATAAAAAGCTTTAGTTCAATTACTTTTTTGTTAGTTTGATAGTTTAATGATATCATAAGAAATAAATAATTGTTTTACTAAATTTTAAAGAAAAAATTAATCATTTGATCCTTATAACTTTGACTTTATTGTAACTTAATCCATGAACTTTGATTCGATTGTAAATCAGTCCTTGAATTTTATCTCTTATAATTTAGTATCTGAAGTTTTAACTTTTTAAATATTGGTCTGTACATTTTAAAAATAAAATTATAAAAATTAAAAATATTTTTAAAATTTATTACTAATAATTTAAACTATTAAACCCTTTTAATCTTTATAAATATTATAAATATTAAAAGTTTAAAATATTTTTAATCTTTATACTTTTATTTTTTAAAATACAAGGATCAATATTTAAGAGGTTAAAACTTCATGAACTAAATTACAAGAGACAAAGTTCAAAATTGATTTATAATCAAATCAAAATTTTAGACACTAATGAGTTATAATGAGTCAAAGTTGAAGGATTGAATTATAATTGGGTCAAAACTACAAGAACCAAATGATTAACTTTCTCTATTTTAAAAGTCAAACTAGACGTTAAACTAAGAAGGTTAGCGGCTTTTAGTTTTTATTGTTTGACTTCTTAGAGTAGCTATTGAATTTGTGATATAATAATTATTGAATAAAAAATAATATTAATTGCATTATATATATAAATGAAATAAACCCATAGTATATTTATTTGTTAATAAAATAACATAGCATAATTACAAATAAAGTAAGTTTTGGCTTTTAGAAGAGTTAATTTTTGGATTTTTCTTATTCTTTTTAAGGTTTTTTTAGCCTTTTTTTGGTATTAGCTTAGATCAACCATTCTGGTTTTCGGTTCAATAATTACTCAACTTTAGTTCGACTTGGCTTAACCATAATAATGATTTTTTGGTCTAAACTAAGTTGTTAGTGAGTCTGATCAACAGTCCAACTATTTGGTTTAGTCTAGTCTGATCTGTTTTGTTTTTTTTTTTTTTTTTTTTTTTTTTTGCCAAACCAATCTAGTTCTTAAAACAATATGTTTCATGCAGATAAAAAAAGAAAATAGAATTAAGATCAATAAGCATACTAAAGATTTAATTCTTGTCCCCTCAAAATGCTTTTGTTGATTGTTAATTTGACAATGCAGTCGTGCATTAAATTAATGATAGTACATTCATTATAATCGTTTAATAAGGGTAAAAAAAAAGTTAATAAATGCAAGGAATGTACGTAGTTATTCATTATTTTTACACCCTCCCCCAAAAAACTCTCATCTGATTCTTTTACAGAGGTTCGAAGGAGTACATATTGCTATATATTCACAAAATGAAGTACTTATATACCTAATTATGTATCAATACCTAGTTTTCTTTGGCCAAAATGTATCAATACATAGTTCAATTGCTATACAAGATGCTATGTATAGTTAACTAGAATAAGATTGTTATACACAATATATATATATATATAGAGAGAGAGAGAGAGAGACATCATTTTTTTTTAGCCAAACTAGATAGATATCATCAGTATTAGAACAAAAAAGATTCAGGAAATGAATACATACCCAATTCTTTTTGAACATGCCAATGACGAGAGATTTGGGTTTGGGAACTCCATGAAGGATCTTGTAGCCATGGATTCTGGGCATATCTGGAACCTCATCGACAAACATCTCCAACTTCGATGAATCTACCAGTTCTTCATCTCTTGAAGAAGCAGCCGATAAGGAGATAATCACCAAAGCCTCAAATAAAACACTAATCAATCTGAGTTTCATCAGAAGCCATCTTGATCTACCCATGCCTCTTAAATTATATCTAGGCTGCTCAAATATGCTGTCACTAGTCGCAAGTGAGTGTGTGTATCTGTATATAAAGAGATGATGATGATGATGATTAATTAGTTTATTTAATTTTGGAGAAAACCTTTATTTGTTTTTTCTTTAATCATAGACATGAAGTATTTTCTGTCTAAGAAAAGTCATAAAAGAAAGAAATGGAGGCTGGAAAAGTGATGTACTATATTGATACGAAGATCTTATAATATATAGATAAACCTAATAATAACTAATTTATATCCTAATAATGGATGCAAATCTGAATAGATAATATATCTCAACACTCCTTCAAACTCAAGAGCAACTCAAGATGCTCTTGAGTTTGCAATAACTTATATTGCTTGACCTGAAAAATAAATCTCAATAATATATATATATATATATATATATCCTTTGTACTAGCTGTAGGCAAGAATTGATTACATCCACATGCTCATCTAGATTAAGCTCTAGCTTAGATAAATTATAAGAACTTGATTAACCAAGCTATGATGCCATGAAAGAAGCCCTGAGAGGGGGGAGAAAAAGAAGATTTGAAAAAGTATCATATTCTATTGATATGAAAAGTTTATAATATATGTACAATCCTAATAATAACTAATCAATATGCTAATGAACACGTAATAAATACAAAATATTTTTTAAATCTCAATAAATAATATGTCTCAACACTTCCAATATAATTATCAGATTCTAATTTCTCTCCTGTATATGATAAGCCACTCCTAATTAAATTTACACTATACCAGGCCTTGTACTTCGTTGGAATCATGCATGCATGTTGTCAGTACGGGTGAGATTTTTCAAATTGAACAAGCTAATAAAAATGTCATGAAGAGCCAAGATTATGCATCACGCTGCCGCTTCATTAAGTGCAAAAACTAATTCATTATGCGTTGTTAAAGATTAACAATTAACAATTAACAATTAATAATTAATATTAATAATTTGTGAAAAAGCAACACACATCTACGTGGCCCAGTAAAGAACACCAATCGAAAACAATGTTTCCCGTAAATAATAATGTTGATGCAATGATTAATAATATATAAAGGGCCCCTTTGCCTACGATTAAAAAATAAGTAATTTTTGGGTAATTTTAAAATTTTATAAAAAGAGACTTATTTTATAAAAAGTAGGCATTATTTTATGTTTGGTTACAATAATAGAAAATGAATATTAGTTAATTATTTCTAAATTTTATGATATCTTCCTTAATTTTTTGATAAAAATAATTTATTAGTATATTATTTTAAAATTTTATAATATCTTCATATATTCCGTCTCTTTAAAACACTATTTATCATCTATTGCATTAGATTATTTTTAAAAATTATTTAAAGTAGTTTCTTAAAATAATCAAAAACCTACTTTTTTCAGATTCTGATTATTTTCAAAAATTTAAACAAACATCATAAAAAATCATAAAATAATTTTTTAAAAAAAGTAAGTGATTTTTTTATGAAATAAATTAAAACAAATTGGTCAAGTAAAACAAAATTAATCATTTTTTCCATCAAGTATTATGATGGGAACAGGTGAAATTTTTCAGTCTATTCCGTATGTTTTTTGCCCCTCTCTGGTCGTAAGAATTTTAAGTTGTCATTGGCTACTTGATTGAAAAATGGAAACAAAAGAAGGCACATCATTAGTATAATATAATAAAAAAATACTCTTAACTCCCATACGAAAACATCTAAATACAAAAAAGTCTCATGAAATTAATCACAATATATTGCTCTGAAATCCCATGTTCTTTATCGAAATTTCAAAAGTCATCAATGATTATTAGATAGTTTAGTGGAGTAGTTGTTCAATTAACAACCAAGCACCCATAATTATTAAAAAAAAAAGACTTTTGACAGTGATAAAAGATATCGAAAGTGAGATATTCTACATCATTTTCCTCTTTGAACCAACATAGAAAGGCTTTTCTACGTTGGCCTAAAGCTTCACTACCCAAGAATATTTTTTTTTTAAGAAAAAAAAAATGCTTCATTGCTATCGAAAGCCCTTTTAATATCATTTTTTAAACATTTCCACGTTATCATTAGAGAGGACATAATATTAAAAGACATGAAAGGTTAATTTAAATGATGTGGATATAAAAAATTACATCATTTATTTTTTTATTTTAGCTAAAATTCAAAGCCACGTCGCATTCCCTTACAAAAGACGTGGCTTTGAAATGCGGATGAAGGAAACTACATCATTTTATAGACAAACAATGCGGTTTCCTATCAATTATATAAATAATGTAATTTTTTTTTTTTAAACAAGCCACGTCGCTCCTTTTAAAAGCAATGTGACTTGTTTTCTTTCTACGCCACTTTTCAAAGAAATGGCGTGCATAGCTTTGTTGATTTGACATTTAATTATGAAATTGTCATTGTGATTATTTTTTATCTAACTTTTTTCAAAAAAATGACATTAATTAGTGCAGTAAAAAAAACTGTTTTTTTTTTTTTGTAATGGTGCTTGTTTTTTCTAAATTTGTCACAAACATGTGGAGAATATCAGAACAGCAAAAGAATACAAGAATACCAGAACAATTGAACCACTTTCAACTGATATCTAAACTGTACAATTTGCTAAACTATAAAACTATTGGATTGATTAAAAAAAAAACTATACAATTTGCAAACTATACCACTATTTTATTCAATTGAAGCAAACTAACTATTACTTAATGCTAATCTAACTACTAAGGGTGTGTTTCACAATATATGATGGAACGGAGATGAACAATTATTAATAAAATGGAATGAGGTGGTGTGGAATGAAGTGGAGCAAAATTGAATATTTTATTTTTTTTTGAAAGTTTTATCAAAAGAATGAAATGATTTTATTTAATCACTATTTAAGAATTATTATAAAATTAATTAATATATTTTGAATTTGATATAATTATGTTTTTTTTTTAGTTTTGTGGTTAGGGGAGTGAAAGAGTAAGAATGGATGGGGAGGATAAGGGTAAATTTATGATAATATACAATAATGTTATCTATATCAGACCTTCTATCCTTAATCCTCCAAAATGGGGGTTATAAAAAAGGAAGAATGGCATTAAAGGTCCTAAAAATAGAGTTGATTGCATTTAGGGTCTAAATCATTTTAAACTTGCTCTGCAGGCTTTGAAGCCCCAATTGCGATATTTTTCAAACAAAAATACTATTTTGCCCTTAATAGAAAGAAATGAAATTAAACGCAGAAGGAGGATGATAAACACGGGAATGGGTATTTAGCTCGAGGATGGGAAAGTTTCTAAGCTCTACTGCGGAGGAGTAACTTTTGAGGTGCGTAAATTTCAAAATTCCTCCATATTCAACAGTGCTTCTGATGATTTCAAGATCTTAGCTGGAGGTTTTCAGGTTTTTCACGTTCTTGCTGTAAAAATGAGTTGAGATTTTCATTGTTCTTGCTGAAAAAATGAGCAGCATTCATTTTTGCTATAGAAATAATTTAAGGTTTGTCATTATTGTATGTCAGTTGCTAATGAAGTGGTAACAGAAGTGATCTTCACTCATTTAATATGTAGTAATTCATTTAGTGGAAGCATTTAATGGGGTTTTACATAACGTAGTAGGGTGCATATGAGATGGACTTTTTATTGTACAAACTGCAATGTGATGTTGAGATTGGAATTTTATTTGTAATTCTACTGCTAATATGAGGTAAAGGTTGCTGAATTATTTTGGCCACAAAAGTTTTAGAATGGATTAGTTGTACAATAATGATGGTTGACTTGTTTATATTGGACTTTTACATGTAAACTGAATAAAATATGATCTAATATGAAGAAAATATTCTGTCAAAAATGTTGGAGTATTTGTTGTGCAAAAATAAACTTTGAGTTGTTTTTATTAAACATTGAGTTGTGCATTATGTTAAGCTTAGTTTAATAATAAATTGGAATCACATGACTTTTAGGTGAGAATATAGGAACTTTGTGTTGTGCTTAACGGATATTATGTTGTGCCATATTTGACTAATTTGAGCATTCCTTTTGTTAAGCCTAGCCTAATGATAAATTGGAATGACATGGACTTTCAGGTGAAAATATATGAATCTTATGTAGTGCATAATGGATATTGTGTTATACATTGTTTGCTTACAAACAAGGAGAATAGAGTCTCAATTTTAAGATAAGAAGATCTATCATTGTTCAAGATGTGGAGAGGCTAGATATAGTCACAAGACATGCAAGAATCCTAACTCAGCATGAGAAATAGTCACATTATACTTCTTTGGTGTACATAGACAATGATAATTATGTATATGAAAGCATTCCCAAGTAATATTGTTTAGGTAATTAGAAATGATAGATATTTTTTGTTTGTATATAGAGAAGAAATTGTTAGATATTTTGGACGTAGTGGTTATCTTTTTGCGTATATTAAACTTGAAATATCATGTCAAATTTCATGTGGGTACTTGTTTTAGTACCTAAGCTAGTACCGACATGAAATTCTTCATATCTGATGTAATTGTCCTTCTTAATATTGAAAATTCATGGACTTTCTATTTAGTATATGTAGACATCGTCTTGTGTATAGTGGATATTGTATCGTGTATGGTCTGCCTAAGTTTCTGTTAAACAAGGTTAGCGAAATACTTGAGATGCATAGGCTTTTTGTTGTGCATGTATGGACATCATCTTGTGCATAATGGATGTTGTGTCGTGTGTAGTCTGCCTAATTTGTCATTTTAGTTAAACCCAAGGCTAGTGAAATACTCGAAATGCACGGGCTTTCTATTATGCATATGTGGACATCATCTTATGTATAAAGGATGTTGTGTAGTATATGGTCTATCTAACTTATCATTTTAGTTAAACCCAAGGCTAGTGAAATACTCAACATGCATGGATTTTCTATTGTGCATGTATGGACATCATCTTGTGCATAGAGGATGTTGTGTCATGCATTGTCTGCCTAACTTGTCATTTCAGTTGAACCCAAGGC